TGTGTTCACGGTGTGTGTGTGTTCACTGCTGTGTGTGTGCACTTTGGATGGGATAAATGCTGAGCACTAATTCCAAGTATGGGTCACCATACTTGGCCACACGTCACTTTCATCTATCTATCTGTCACCACAGTTTATGTTTTTTTATTGAATGTTTACATACCACGGTAATTATTTAAATGGTTTTCAAAGGTAATTAAAAATATTAATAAAAAATTAATTAAAATAAAATATTATTTAAAATTATTTAAATATTAATAAAATATTAAATAATATTATTTAATAAGTCTGTCTACATCTATCTATCTATCTATCTATCTATCTATCTATCTATCTATCTGTCTGTCTGTCTGTCTGTCTGTCTGAAGAAAGAAAGAGAGAAAGAAAGAAAGCTACAGATCTGGCATGGGATGGTAATGTCTTGGTACTGAATGATGAGCAGGTCACTGTCAGTCTGGATTAGTCTCTGTACACCTGTTCTCTCATCCAGAGGGCGTCCTGTACTGCAGTGCCATCCAGGGACAGCAGCAGGACTTCAGTGTTGGACGGCAGATATCTCAGCAGGTCCGACAGACACTCCAGAAAGGCGGATTTATTGGTGAACGCGTGAACGATGAGCGCACTCCTCGAGCCGTTCTGAGGACTGTAAATAAACTCTCCATCCAGAGTTTGCACCTGGAAAGCAGGAGCAGGATCGCCAGGTTCAAACCCCCCGAGACCTTCACTGGACCTTGCTCTGCATCTGGTGCTACCTGTGTTCTGCTGGCCACAGTCTACGTGCTCCAGATTATCGGAAGATTTCGCATTTTTAAGAGTGCCGAAATATAACAGATAACAATAAAGCAGCAGAAACCGACAATAAAACATGATTTTCAGTTGAGAACAGACATTTCTTTGTTTATAAACACTGCGCACGCTCCCGAATCTGTGTATCTCTACATTGTTTCACTTTCAAATTCTTCCTCATTTGGATGAACGCGGGGGCGTGGCCTAAGGAGGCCTGTCAGGTTTGAGTGACACTTTCAAATGGCCAATAAGAGAGGAGAAGCAGCATATCGCCATGCAAAATACTAAATAAAATCATACAAAGTAAATATTCAAAATGAATTAGAAAGAACGAAGAACAGCAACGCCTCAAAAATCTATTTAGTTTTATGCGATCCATTTCAAAGACTTTTATTTTATGTCCTTGTTGGGGCCTTCTTTCATATTTTATTTCCTCAAATTAATTATGTTTCACGTCAGTGTTATTTTAGAGTTATTTATATACGATCATAGTACTTTTTAATATTTTGATATTAGCTTTTATTTTGATATTTTTATTTTTCAGTCATTTTGTTTGGTGCTTTTGTCATTTATTATGATTGTTTAAACATATATTTCTATTTAGCCTTGATTTATTTTTATGTCAGTTTTAATTTTTAGCAGTTTCAGTACTTCAACTTATACTTATCCCAGTATACTTTTTTTTTAAAGTTTTCTTTTTCATCTATTTTGTTTTATTACAGCTTTATTTCAATGAACAAAAATATTTTAATAGTTTTAACAATAACACCAGTTTCACATTTCATCATATAAAGTAAAAAAATATATATTTCATCATATCAGCATCTTATTTTTCCTTTTTCTTGCTTCCTGTGCAGCATGCACTTTCAAATTTATTATTAATAATTAATTTATTCATAATTAATTGAATTACACAAATATTGAATAATCATATCTAATTAAGTATGTTAATTAAATTAAAATAAATTAAATATTGATCATTAATGTTAGTAAATAGTATTTTAAAATGATATTAAATCATCAAATGAAAAAATTAAATAAACGGTGATTAATAAATAGAGCCACTAAAGAATCCTTTAAAACTATCAGCCAGCACAAAACATATCAAATTAAAATATTTGTTCAGGAATAGAATAGAATAGAAGCTACAAACACATGCAGTCAAGCATCATATGGGCAACAGAGATTTACAGAAATCAAAACAGCATCAGTCAAATGAATATGAGTGAAGGAAATCATGAAGTGGTGTGAAGTAAAGTTACTGTCTAATTCTGAGGCTCCTTCTAATTTATCAAGCATCTTGAACAATGTGAACCAGGAGTGGATCAGAGGTCAAATGCAGAACGCATAATAATAGCTGAAATCGACAGTGGATGAATCTCACACGGATAATCCAGTGAAGCAGCAATTTTCTTTTAATAATTCATATTCACCACCTGATTCATCATCTGCTCATTTCACCAGCACTATTTAAACAGAGCTGCTGTTTGCACCATATCCGAGTACAGATAGAGCCAGTGTGAATTCACTGAATTTCTGAGAGTTTGGTTTGAGACTCATGAACTCCACCAACCTCACAGCATCATGAAGATCTTCCTGCTGATTCTCCTGCTGCTGTCTGCTCTGTCAGATATTTTGTGCCAGAACTTCAGTCCTGATGAGGATAACTGGATGAGTGACAGGTATCCAGACGAGGTTAGTGATTTCAGTCTTAGTGTTGCTCTTTTATGCCCTTAACTTTAGTTATGGAATATAGAAGTGATATCATTTGCAGTTTAATATACAAAACGAATAAGATTATTTAACAACAATATCTAAAGAAAGTTTATCATTTGGTTGCATTGCTTAATTATGAATTATTTATATCATCTGCAGGTAAATTTGCTAGAATCTGACCTAAAGACGATGTTGGAAAGGGTCAGCCGAGCCCCTGGTCTACAACAGACTTTTGGTCTAATGAGGAAAAGATCTGGTAAAAATATTTTTAAAAAATTAATTGTTTTGAGATAATTTTTATTCTCAATCCTGCATTATCAATTGATATATATGGTATAAATACACTGTATATATAAATGTTGCTTTCACTTCACAGCAAAATCACAGATAACACGAAGACGTAAGTATTTTGGGGAGTTTTTCTAATCAAGTGTACAGTACTTTATAATGTGTTGTATTCAAATGTGCTTTAAAGTCCTGCATAGTTACATTTATTTTTTGCACTTATGACTGAAGGGTGTCCTATAATCTGTGCATTTACATTAATGCGATTATTAAACTTCATTCAAAAGACAAAGTGGCTGCTCATGCTGAATCGTGTGTGAATCAAATCTGATAATGTGCTTTTATCTCACAAATGACTTCCAGGGCAGAAATTTCAGACTTTTGTGGGTCTAATGGGAAAACGTAATGTGGTCGAACCAGGTTAGTCAGTTCTTTCTTTCCTTTTGCATGCATGCATACAACATATTCTGTCACAACGTTTTTATTATAAATTCTGACCTTTATTTTCTTTTAGGATCCTTCTAAGAAAAAGGCAAACGATGTTGATGACGCATCAGGCTGAAACTGATAATGATTATTTCAGAACCAAGTTAAAAATGTTTATCAGCTGATCAATATTATTAAAAAAGTAATTTATAATTATAATACTGGTGCCACTTTTCATTTCTACACTTTAAACGCGAATTATTCTTGACAGTTCAATGTACAGTATACTTGCTATATAACTCTAAAACCTATTTGGAAATATTCATTAAAATGATTTTATGTTTGTATTCATTTATAATCAGTAAATACTGAGTACCACTACTTTGAGGTGTGTTTTAATGCGATCAGGGGGATAAGAAGTGATGAACGTGTGACAACTGCCCCATAACAAGATCATTTCAATATTACGATCAGTGTTTCTTGTACAAAAATGTTGTTGTAGGTATATTTTTAGTAGATTTGGATGTTTATTTAAAAAACTTATGACGGTTCCCAGTATTGCAACACTATTTCAGCAATCTAAATGATCAACCTGTATCATCACAAGTTTATTAAGAGACTGTACAATACAAATGAAAAAAAAAATAAAATTAAAAATACAGAAACAGAGAACATAAGAAACAAAACAAAAAAAAATGCTTTGGACTCGTGTCCGAACAGCTGAAATACTGTACAGCAGAGGTGAGCTTACAGACAAACATGTTGAAACCACTCTATCATGAGCACGACCGTTCAACAATATCTCTGGTGCGGTCCATGAATTAAGACACCCGTCTGCTGAGTATTCTAAGAAACATACAAAAAATATTACGTTAGCTGTCTTGGTGTACGTATACATATTTATTTATATATATATATATATATATAAAAATAACTGAAATAACATTAATGAAGTTATAGGAGGTGGTCAAAGGATATTGACTAGACAGACATTATACTTTGGAAACACTTCTGCATTTAAGAGAAAAACTAAATTATAAGCCAAAAGAGCAAATAATGCGTTTGCCCATCCCCGGATGTCATTCGTGCATTTACAGTTGTAGAATTTGGCCTGTTGCATGGGATTCTCTGGTTTACCGAGGGAAAATAGAGCACACTCACATTTGTTCTTTTTCAAAAAACACACTTCTGTTATGCAGGTTCATGTTTTTTAGTTAACGAGTAAACAATTTATCACCAAAATATAGTTCAACAGTTTGACATTTTGTTTGGAGTATGACTGTAGACATCAGCTGGTAAGTGAATTCAGTATATATTTCGTTATTATCGGTATGGGTTTGGCTTGCCTAAGACTGAGTTTCACAAAGGTAAATGCTTTAGCGGAAGTCCATGATCAGCTTGAACGCCTCCGTCAGACTGCGAGGACAGCTCGGAGTCTGAAGGCTACACAGATATCAAGGTCGGGGGGGATTGGCGAATGAGAACAACCTGGTCATCGTTAATGATTTTAAAAGATCTTCCCTTTCTTCTTATTCTTTTCCAAAGTCCTGTAGAGGGAAAAAAAACAATAATAACTTTAAAAAACTGCTCTGAGCAGGGATGCATTATAGAAATTCAGAGGGGTCCGTTTACAAAAATTGTGTTATATATTAAAAAAAGTTGTGTGAAATGTATATATATATACACACACATGTATATATGGGTCAAAGACGTTAAGATGTCCGCATCAAAAGAAATTTACAAAAGTGATTTTGTCCATAGAAAGCACATTAAATGTAAGTAAAGTGTCTACTTTTAAGGTTTCAAATAAGTTTTTGGAGAATAAAATGTCAAAATTTGGTTGAAATAATGTTACAATGTCATTCAGTGTAACACAATATTTATGTAAATATTCAAACAACATGCTTATTCTGAGGTGTTCATATTAAAATATATAAAAGAATAAGGGAGCATATTAAATTTGTGTTTTAAATGAGTAAAAAATTCTTACTGACAAATGGGCAAAACCTAGGATAGTGGCAAATTGTAAAAATGTAAAATTACAACTAATTAGTATTTGGGGTGAAAGTATTTAAATTTTTGATTAGTATTATGCATTGCTAAGAACTTAATTTGGACAACTTTAAAGACGATTTTCTCACCCTCATTTTTTTATTTTCATGTTTTTGCACCCTCAGATTCCAGATTTTCAAATGGTTGGATCGCGGCCAAATATTGTCCTATCCTAACAAACCATACATCAATGGAAAGCTTATTTATTCAGCTTTCAGATGATGTATAAATCTAAATTTTGAAAAATCGACCCTTATGACCGGTTTTGTGGTCCAGGGTCACATTTATTTTTTGCGCAGAAAAACAAAAACAAAATTGCAATTAAATTAAACAGACATATTAAACGACAATTTAAAGCAGTATTACACACTGTTTTTATGCTTAAACACTTTTTCGTCTTTGACCTATATATATATATATACACGTTTTGTGAAAAAATTTTTTTTTTAAAATATATTATTAAAAAAATATGAATAAAAAAATTAATAATATATCATTTAATTTCAAAATTCATAAATTAATCTGTTCACATACATTTTCTGCTGCTCCAGGATACGCTGTTGGGTCTCCCAGGTGGATCGCTCGTCCTCCAACTGACGTCGTCTCTCCTCTAGCTCCTTATGCTGAGCCTCCAGGTTCTTCTTCATCTGCTCATGACGCCGCTGCAGCTGCACAGGTAACAAAAAATAAGAGGTCAGGCTCCATTATTGCCCATCAAATAAAGCACACTAAGCAGACAGCTGAAACAGATTGCAGAATTTAACTAAAAAGCAAAAAAAGGGAGTTTGGAAAGCATTTCGAACTTGTGTGTGCAACTTGTGTATAATAGTATCTCAATGATACTGGAATAACACTTTTAATTAATATTATGAATTAGTTTTTATTTTTATATTTTCTGTTTTCATTTTAATTTCAGCTAAGGGTTTAGTAAAATTGTTGTTTTTTTGTCTTAAATTTTTTTTAAATGTCTATATAGTATAATATGTCTGTAGTTTTTATTCATTTTATTTTTAGTAATTTTGTTTGTAATTTATTCATTTTTTTTAAAAGTCTACAGTTTTAATTAATTTTATTTAAATTATTTTAGTACATCAATTTAAGCTAAATAAAAATGAGACAAAATACTTTAAAATACTTTTAAAACGTAACCGAAGTTTGTTTATGGTTTTAGTTAACTATAATAGTTCTGGCGTGTAAATGTGCATATAGTAAATATTAAGGAAAATATGATTAAATATCACTGTGATCATATAGTAAAAACAGTGTAAACATAACATCATTTTGAATCTATATACTTACTATTTGACTTCTTGCATAAAACATTTTTGAATTTACAATGGCAAAATAAAATAATTCTTATATTTATATATAGATGAAATTCTTTTAGTTTTATCACCCAATCCATTTTAGGACACGCTGATGAATTGTGCTGTAAGTACCTCTGCCTCTGAATCTTTCAGTTTCTGGATCTTCTCCTTGACTTTCATCTCAAACACCTGCTCCATCTCCATCTCCATCTTCTTCATTTTGGTCACATGCTCCCTTCTCTCCTCCTCCATCTGGGCGAGAGGACTCCTAGTATTGACACATGCAATTAACAATCATGAGAGCACATCCCACAGTTTCCTCTAGAGCAATGCATCCCTGTGCATCTTCACAAGACAAGAAGAGATGGAAAGGTGGACCAACAAAGCCCTCGTTGCCCACTCCTTATCACAAAGATGAGGTCAATGTGACACCCGTGACCAATCGCTCCCACTTAACACCTCTGGCAACTAAACGCTCATGGCTTACAATGGCCAGTCTTGCTAAGGCATAGAAAAGGAGGAAGAACATTGAACAAACACCCTGGTTCCAGAGGAACCTGAAAGCAGTTAATGGCCAAAGCGATTATGCTGATCAGAGTTAGTGAGCGGCGCAGGAAAGCTGCGAAGAGGTACGGCAGGAACATATGCGAAGGCAGAAACAATGGTGGGAATCGTTAGACGCCTCACGATATGATTTTTATTCAAACAATTAAAAATGATTAATTCAAGATGCATCTCATTTAGGGTTATTATCGTTAACTAAAAAAATGTTAACTAAAACACTATAAAAATCATTACTCGAAACGAAAACAAAAAAATGGAAAAAATGAAAATATACTAATATAAACTAATATTAAATAAAAAATACTATTTAAATATATAAAATACTATAATAGTATATAAATTAGGGCTGTCACTAACAATTACTTTGGCAGTCAAATAATCGGTCGATTATTCTGACGATTAATTGAGTAATCGGATAAAAAAATTTTGTGGTAATAAAAATAGACCTAAGCGAACAATAGACTTTAAAAGGACTTAAAATACATATATAATAGCAATGAGCCAATAAGGTTTGAGGCATATGGTTTTATAGAACAATACAGTTAAAATACATAATATAATAAAACAATATTTGAGGTGAGGCGTCTAACGTACATGATGTATTATATAAAATGCCTGCATAGGGCACCAACGGCCTGACGATTGTTTTTACACTTTACAGCGTGATCTAATCCTTGTTTAATATTGACTAAACATCATTTAATTCAAATGTCCACTTAATCTTTAATATTTGGCCACTTCTTTATGATGGAAATGTTAGAGCCACTGTCATTTCTTGAACAAGAACATGTGGACATCAAAACATGCAAACTCAGAGCGAGGGTTTAAACTTTTATTCTGAAATCGCAATGAACAGTTAGCATATTTAGAAAGATAATGATGTATTCTCCTGTGTTGGTGTAAGTTTATAAATGATTTACCTTATAAATCTGATAGAACGGTTCACAATATTCCCAGATGAACATTATAAGCAACTCAGACCCACAGCATACGCAAAGATGGAGTCTGAGACGGTCTGACCGCGCATGTAAATGATAAATGTAAATGTTTATGTGGAGCAGCATTTACTGTGAACGGAGATGCACGTAACCTACACGCATACAAATAAAGCGTATATTAAACTTCAGCGCATATGTTTATTTAATTGAATCGCAGCCTTTGTGAATTCACAATAGCAATATACTTTATTATGAATTTTTTAATGTTTTAATAATTCGTGCAGCCTTAGAAAATGGTCTAATAATGCTTTTCATGGATTCTCATCCGTGGAATGCGCAGCTTCCGGTATTTTGCCGGTTAATCGACACAGGCAAAATGCAATCGTGGATTTTTTATCCATCTTATTTTTCCCATAAGAGCGGGCGCGGCCATTTGTAAATTGAATGGGTCTAATTTCCGGTGTCATTCGCTTCCAGCTATTTTTAGCTGTACAAAACAGCTCGTTTTGCTGCTTGATATTGCAAACTGGTGTGTCTTACCATATTATTTTAATGTATTATCTTAATTATGAACACACTAGTTAGTAGTGCAAACAGTTTTACCATTTAGTGCACTTTGTTATTCTTCTCGTTATTTCCCTACAGCTGCTAAAGAACCTCTCACACATTCACAGAAAATGGCCTACATAATAATAATATAATAATTCATTACATTTATATAGCGCTTTTTCTAGGCACTCAAAGCGCTTTACATTGTCAGGGGGTATCTCCTCATCCACCACCAGTGTGCAGCATCCACCTGGATGATGCGACGGCAGCCATAGTGCGCCAGAACGCCCACCACACACCAGCTTATTGGTGGAGAGGAGACAGAGTGATGAAGCCAATTAGCAGATATGGGGATTGTTAGGAGGCCATGATGATCAGAGGCCAATGGGCAAATTTGGCCAGGATGCCGAGGTCACACCTCTACTCTTTTCGAAAGACATCCTGGGATTTTTAATGACCACAGAGAGTCAGGACCTCGGTTTAACGTCTCATCTGAAGGACGGTGCTTGTTGACAGTATAGTGTCCCCATCACTATACTGGGGCGTTAGGACCCACACAGACCACAGGGTGAGCACCCCCTGCTGGCCTCACTAACACCTCTTCCAGCAGCAACCTAGCTTTCCCAGGAGGTCTCCCATCCAGGTACTGACCAGGCTCAGCCCTGCTTAGCTTCAGTGGGCAACCAGTCTTGGGCTACAGGGTGATATGGCTGCAATACATCCGCATTGAAGAATAAGGTGGATAACTGAGTACTCAAATTTAATCGAGAAATCATGACAGCCGTAATATAAATGATACTAAAATAACACTAATCTCAATTTTTGCCACTATTGTCACTACAAAGAAATGCAAACATTTGAATTGAACGAATTTGAATTGAATGCAACCATGTTTGTGAACCAAAGTCTGAGGAAGAACTGCAATACATCTGTGAATCATTTTTTTTCTCCCTCTCAGAGACAAACAGGAGGAACTACTTCTGGACCATATTTCACACCGGGAGAATAAGGAAGGGTTTAGTTTCCCCTAATCTAACCAGTACAACTGGGTTGTTGTCACAAGGTCTATTACTCCCTGGAAAAATCACACATGGAACTGTTGGAAAAAGAGTGCGATAACAGACACCGAAAGACACTGTTCCCAGAGGAAGAGAGGGTCCGTACAACACAGGGATTTGGAAAAATGTAAATGACCACTTACATGCCTTCAACCGTGTCAACTCTAAAAGACAAAAACACACACACTTAGCATGCTACAAATCATACTGTGCACTGAAGAGCAAAATAATGTGTCAACAGAAAGCAGATGAGAGGAAAGACTAGTCCGGATTATAACACTTATAATGTGGTTTTCTGCAAAAAACAAACTAAAAAAAACCAAACAAACTGTATTTTAGGTTAGAGGTGACTGTCGACTACTTGGAACCTGCATGGCGTGACCTCAAACTTGTCTGCGAGCACGTGCACATGCATATGTGTTAAGAGTCTGGCTTTTTAAATTAAGGGTTAGCGAGCACAGCAAACTGTGAAGGGATATCTTAATATAAACCTCCTCAAACGTAACGTCACCAAGAGAAATGTACTGACAGAAAATATATTTAAGCAATCCGATTAAGTCAACATGAAATAGAAACTGACCCCATTTACTTATTTAAACCCCTTCCTGTTTTTCATTATATGTTAGATTACATAGTATACATTATATTATATTACATTACGTTATATTATATTACATTACATTATACAACCCTTCCCCTACAACCACCTGATTCCATTCTGTAATAGCCACTTCTCATGATCCAACCAGTTCCTAATGGATAAAATAAAGTACTGCCGTACATTTTCCCCCATTGAATATCCAGTTTGACTTGCAAACAGCATTTTATGTTGACTTTAAAAACAGAAGTAGGCCAGCCACAAATGCAAGTATGGTGGTTTACATTGTGCACTCCAATACACCAGACAACAGGAAATGATGCAACATAAAATGTCAAAATGCTGTTTGACAATTAAGCATCACTTATATTGATCCAAAACCTTCTTTAAAAATGCTATATATATATATATATATATATACATACATACATACACACACACGTTTACA